TGTCTATTTAGATCAATATACATATCGTCTAGTAAGGTAAGACACTAAATCTCTTAAACAATGTTAGAGGTTTGAATCTTGGTGTTTAAGAATAGAACAAATTGAATTAGAAGGATCACCCTCTGCCTCTACAGTACACGATCCGAATTAATGCACAACCAACAAAATAAATAACTTTTCGAAAAAAATTAAATTTTAGAGTAAGCACATACCCACCTAAACTAAGAATGAATCTGCCACTAAACACAACCATCAATTAATATAAAAACACTCAAATATATTATCTTGAATGAAGATTAAAAACAATCCTCTTAATCTCTTCTATTAAATACTCTACTAAATACTATAAACAAGGCCTAAATAATATTTAAGACAATACATAAATGATCTTTTGATTATAGAATATTACTTTGTTGAGTCCCCGACTATATAACGTTATTTTGTTGAGTCTTTCGACTATTAAAAGTTATGAGATGGTCATCCAACTATTCATATATTCAAAAACTCATCACTTTCTGTTAAAAAATTAGTGATTGTCTAAACTAGATATTAACTTATTGACTTGAATATGATAAAATATGATCCCCAAACCGTGAGAGCTATATTTTGAAGAATGATACTCCGTTTATATTATGTCATTGAGTCAGTGCCTGAAATATTATGTTGTCAAACCAATGGTTAAAAGCAACGACGATACCAGTAGACATCATTAAAATATAATTTTATATATCTTAGTAAGTACGTTAACATCTAGCTTAGATGAGCATCAATTTTGTAAAAGAAAAAAAATAAGTTTGGAACATATAAATAGTCGGGAGCTCAACAAAGAAATGTCTTATCAATGAATCATTTGATAACTATTAATAGTTGAAAGACTCAACAAAACAACAAGCTACAGTCGATGACCATTGTGTACGTTACTCTAATATTTAATCACAAATTAAGGCTTAAAAAGATGCAAATACTCTTTAAACATAATTACCAAGAGAATTGCCCGAGGAAAAATATTGGATAAATTATGTGTTTAGTACTTAAACTATTAATTCTAACCCATTTCAGTACCTAAATTTTCAATTTTTTTAAATCATACATAACGTTTAGTTTTTGTTTCATTTTAATACCCAACGTTAAAACTTAATGGGCAGACTCGTTGACCGTCAGGTCTACAGTCGTCGACCGTTGCATCTGTCGGCCAATAAAGCATAAACTCTCTATCTCGCACCTTTTTGACCCCCTGAACATGATTACGCCTCTGTTTCACCGGAAAATACCTCAATCTCTCCAAATTGACGATGAATTCTTTAATTTATTTATCCTCCAATCTCCATCATCAATCGTCCGATGGGACTAAAACTGGACTATATTGGTCGACTCGTCATTCTCTCGTTTTATACCGTTCAAATTGATTGTCCATCCACTGGAGCTATACCCCATCATCACATTCGTTAAGTTTTTAACGGCAGGTACTAAAATAAACAAAAACTAAACGTTAGATATAGTTTTGAAAAAAAATAAAAGTTTAGATACTAAAACGGGTCAAAACTGATAGTTTACGTACTAAATACGTAATTTACCAAAAATATTATTAATTTTTTTAAAAAAAATTGAGGATGTAATATGAAGGGATGGGCATGGGTCATGTCGGGTTGAATTTTTAACCCATCCAACTCCGCCCGAAAAATGTTATCCTCCACTATTTACTTGACCCACCTTCGATTTTGAAGGATTCCATCCGACCCAACATACGACTTGAAATTTAAACTAAAAATCGGATCCCACCCGACCCGATCTGATCAATTCCATATTTTTTATTTTCTTGTCTATTCTCCTAATTTCTCATTTATTCCCCATTTATTCCCCTGTTTTCTTACTAACCAAACAAACAACCAAGCATAATAATGAACTTAAAAATAAAGCAAACTGGAAAACTAAATCTAAACTACGAAAAAATGGGTGATTTTTTTTTAAAATAACCCAAAAAACAAAACAAAAAATAGAAGAATAAAATTAATCCACAAATAATACATACAATATTTGAATCTTTGTTCAGATTATGAAACCCTCCTAAAATCTTCAAAAGCATTGTTGCAAATGTGAGATAAGAGAGACGGAAAACGATTGTTTTTATGGAAAAATCGAAACAAACCTCACAAGAATGAAGGAGAAATAAAAAAAACAATAGAAAAATGAAAAACTAACAAAATAAATGAAGAACAGGAGAAGAATAAAGAAGAATGGCAAATGGAGGATGACATTTTTGTAAATATTTTAAACATTATTTTATATTATATTGGGTCGGGTCTAGTCGGATATTTTTGACTCTTAACTCGATTCCGATTCAAATCCGATATTCTCTCCCATATAATCCGATTTTAAAAAAACCTTATAAAATTGGATCGAATCGGATCGAAATCAGTTTTAAATGCATATCCCTAATAATATGGATTAATGGGGGGCATTCATAAGCCCAGCCCGACCCGACCCGACCCGACTTGTCTACTTATCTCTCCCATGATCTCTTCATCATTATTTCAATCTCCACAACGAAGAAATCATTAGAGGAAGATGGCAGGTACATCAATGGTAGCAGATTCAAGCTGGTCCACATCTCTCGTCAGGATTTCTCCTTACACTTTCTCCGCCATCGGTATCGCCATCGCCATCGGCGTCTCGGTCCTCGGCGCTGCGTGGTACCCCCTCCTCTTTCAATTTTCATTTTGCTTCTAATCTGACCATAAATTTTATGAATTAGGTTTTACATTGTTCCCTTTTCTTTTTTATTATTATTTTGATCGAATTCCCTTTTCTTTTGTATAATTCATGTTCACAGGGGAATTTACATAACCGGGAGTAGTTTAATCGGTGCCGCTATTAAGGCTCCTCGAATCACTTCCAAGAATCTAATTAGGTAATTGTTTTTCGTTTTCGCTTTTTTATTGAATTGCTTTTATTGGTCTGGGAATGCTTCTAATTATTTTTATTTGTAGAAACCCTAATCTATTAATCAAGTTTTTTCAATGATTTATCAATAAACTAGCCTTAATACTGCCTTATTCTTTCAGATTCCTTGAGTTTAACTAAAATTTGTCTCTGGACTTTGAAAACCTGATAGTGGAAACTAGGAAGCTTGGATTTTTATTATATTTTTAAGTTTTCTTCCTGGTCCTTAGCCCTGGATCTGTGTAATGTTTATGATATGAACATTGACCCAGGTTTAAGGCGAAAGAAAGGGTGTTTTCTTAACTACAATCATGATTAACAAGAATAGCTATAAATTTAGTTTTCTTGTGTATAGATCATTTCTTTTGTTCCCAGATATTGCCCTGCAAGTCTAGACATGGCCTCCCTCTAATTTGTGCTTAACTTACTCGGTTCGTGTAATGTCTGTTGGATCTGTTGTAAATTAGAGTGGATGTACTAATGGAAAACGATCATTATTATGATTGTTATTGAAGTTAATGTCAAACGACTATTAGTCATGAAAACGGATTCGATAACTAAAGATGTCCCATCTTTTTCAACTGGATTTCTTCGAACTTTTTGCATTGTTGCTTATTTTTGAAATGCTCTAGCCTCTATGCTTATCGATATAGTAAATTTTACTCTGCCATTTTATTGCAGTGTAATCTTCTGTGAAGCTGTTGCTATATATGGTGTAATTGTTGCGATTATTTTACAAACAAAGTTAGAGAGTGTGCCATCATCACAAATATATGCACCCGAGTCTCTTAGAGCAGGATATGCAATCTTTGCTTCGGGAATTATTGTTGGCTTTGCAAATCTTGTTTGCGGGTTCATCCCTATCCTTTTTTCAGTTAGTCTTTAAATAAAGATCTAAACGGACATTATGCTTATTTCTGTGTATACTTACCGTTTCCTATCTTTGCGACAGGTTATGCGTCGGAATAATCGGAAGCAGCTGCGCACTGTCCGATGCACAGAACTCTTCGCTTTTTGTGAAGATTCTTGTGATCGAGATTTTTGGCAGTGCCCTTGGACTATTTGGAGTGATTGTAGGTATAATCATGTCAGCCCAAGCAACATGGCCTGCAAAATCCGTGTAATTACATGCTCTATGTAGGAAAAATAGCTACCCATTTATGAGATAATGCAATCTGTTTTATGCACCAGTTACAAGAAATGACCTCTAAATATTTTTTTTTCCTTTATTTGTTAGCAGTAACCATGTATGTGGAGACTTGCTTGGAAATTGGAATTGTTATCTCTTTTGTTTTTTGGTCTTATAATTGATTTGTTGAATGAGAAAATAAAATCTGTTGTGAAAACCATGAATCATGGTTAGGTGTTCTACTTTGTGTTTAAACTTGCTGGGACTTTTGGCAAAGTTTGTACTTTCATTGATCATCATATTTGAATGAGAGTAGGTCGTTCGAAAGCTCGATTCGACAATGATTGAACGAGAGTAGGTCGTTCGGAAGCTCGACTCGACAACTCGACAATGATCGAAAGAGAGTAGGTCGTTCGAGAGTTCAACTCGACAATGATTGGGTTGAATGTATTTTAAGGGTTTTAAAGGGTGAGGTCGAGTTTTAAGGTGAAAATTTTTTAATCATACCCAACATGAGGTAATACTGTATTTTTCTTATATATATTTACAGATAATTGATATAATATATATATATATATATATATATATATTCAATTAAATTTTTATTTTGTTGAATAAAAATAAGATATTTTTTAATATTTGTGTCGGATTGAGTCGAATTAAACATAAATTTTATCTAAAAAAATTGAGTCAAATTCTGAATCAAATGAAATCCTTTTAAACTCGGATCAATTCAAATAAAAGAAATATACTTTTCGAATTAGATTGAATTGATAAAAAAACAAACTCGAATCAATTCAAATATATATGATTTCTGATCTTATTTGGAAAGAAAGGCCCAAACCCAAAATTATAGGGAAGAACACATCAAATCTGGGTTGAATCTCAAGTCAAAGCAGAGAAGTTTCATGGTAAAATGGCAGCCATCAAAATCAAGGAAAAGTAGCGGGGAAAGAAAACTCCCCCAATTTTCCCCTCTTTAAAAAGGCCAAATCTCTCCACCGTCGCTGTAAAATTTCAAAGCCTGCCTTTCCTCTGTCGTCACATACAACAAATCTATCTCTGCCTGTACAATTCCCCTCACCACGCCATTGTTATACCCCCTCCCCCTCCGCTAATCTTTTTGTTTTTCTTGGAGAGTTCATAATAATGGCGGGTGGTCGAGAAGTAGCAATATCACTAGATGGTGTGAGGGACAAGAACGTGATGCAGTTAAAGAAGCTCAACACTGCTATTTTCCCCGTTCGTTACAACGAAAAGTACTACGCCGATGCTCTGGCTTCCGGCGAATTCACAAAGCTTGGTTTGCCTCGTTTCCTCCCCCTAATCTTTTCTGGGTTTTCGGTATTTTCTTAAAAAACATGTTATTCTCTCGTTGTTATGTTCGATTCTAGCTTGGGTTTTTTCTTCGCAATTGTTTCTTTTTGAATCTTGGGGTTTTCTTTGGTGTTCAATTTTTGTTCTTCGGTATATGGTTTGTACGTATTAAGGAATTTAATTTGTTGGTCTTGCTATCAATTCTCTTGTTTTAGTCCTTTTCATTGGTAAATTGTTGGCCTTTTGGGGCTAGTTTGATTTACATTGACATTTGATGATATCCATGATTGGCATATGGTTTAATAAGGTTTAGAAGATAAGCTGAAATTAATGAAGTTGAAACTTCCTCTTAATATGTTTATATTCTCGATATTGTTAGCCTACGCTTTTGATTTTCGAGGGGAACTATGAGTGGCCTTTGATAAATTTAATGTCTTGTTAGTTATCAGTTTAGTGTCCTCCCATTGCATCATTGGTAAAAGTAATTTGTTCGTTGGATTAAATAGTTACACGTTAGATAACCTTGTTCTATTTATTGTGTTAGGCAGCATCTAAGAACTAATAGTTTAACTATTTTTTCAATTGTCGATATTTGGGGTTTATCGAACCCAAAAAAATGGATATCACCATTCATCCTCTTCAAAACATGGCTAGATAATGTTCAGTTTATGCCTCAACAACACTCTTCAGTTCTGTTGTGCTTGTGCTGCCTTTCACTTGCATGAGGTACCAATTGTATTTGGTGCACTTGTCGTTTCTCCCATGATCTTCCACATATTATGAAATCTTAATCGATCCATCCATATCCCGCATTTCTTTTGAGCTTTTAAGCAATAGGTGGTAGCTATCAGTAAAATTTTCTGGAGAATTTTCAAGTCATAAAATCCCTAGCTAAAGTTTTCCCGATTCTGAAATTTGCTACGCCGCATTGGAGGGCACATATTGAGCTTGATGGCAAAACCTGTTATTTTTCGGGGAGTAATTATCCTATTACTTTCTTCTGGCTTGGTAATTGCATATTTGTTTTATTTTCTCCTTAATCCTTAGGTCATGCTCAAAGAAATACACTCGATTGAAGTTTTGAGTGACTAGCCTCATTAACTCTATGATCTTAGCAATGGCAGAGCATGTTTGAGATGTCTTTATCACAATGCTTTCAGCATTTGATATCAATTACTAGTATGGTGCATTTATGATTCGAAATAATTAATGTTTTTATTTTCAATTTGATGACTTGGAACAAATTAGGATGGTTACACATGCACACTCATATATCATCACATGATATGATTGCATACATGCTATTACACAAGTAGGGGCCTGATGAAGATTAAGTTGGAGAATGCCCTGTATAATTCAAAACTTAGCATGTTATTCTAACAATCACTCTTTTGCTTGCTAACTCAGCATATTACAGTGACATCTGTGTTGGATCAATTGCTTGTCGGCTGGAAAAGAAGGAAGGCGGGGCCATCTGTGTGTACATCATGACATTGGGTGTTTTAGCACCATATCGTGGGCTAGGAATCGGTGAGTTGACAAATCATTTTTTCTTCCGGAGTAGATTTTGCAGAGGAAATAAATGGGATAATCTTAGCTCATGTCAACCTTTAAATTGTTCAAAGCATCTGATCATTCTTGTTGCTACTCAGGATGCGTAGCTATCATGAAAGCATAATCAATTTGATGCTTAGCTAATTGCTTCAAACATGCTTTTGCTGAAAGTACGTTGCCATTGATTTTTAGCAAGAGCCATAGCCCTGTATCATTGGTTTTGCCATTTGTCTAAAAAGGTTTGCTTAAATCTTGAATTTTTGCAGGTACAAAGCTATTGAACCATGTTCTTGAGCTTTGTTTGAAGCAACACATACTGGAAATCTACTTGCATGTTCAGACAAACAACGAAGATGCCATCAAGTTCTATAAGAAATTCGGATTTGAAATCACCGAGACTATCAAGAACTATTACACAAACATCGACCCTCCCGATTGCTTTGTTCTTACCAAGTTCATCGCACCTCCATCTGAAGAGAAGAAATAACCATCCAAAGCTAGTACTGCTCTCTGGATGGCATTCGTTATTGTTGTGGTATTGAATTTGATCAATTCCTATACATTTGGGAATTATTCTGATGATAAGGATGCTATAATGCATGAATGACATGAGTTATGGCATTAATGAGGCGAGTTGTGATGGGTTTATAAACACTTCTTGCACCATTTGAGCTGAAATTTTGTTAGCCTTGTTCAATACATTTGTTGTTCATGTGTACCTTTGCTGTGATTAAATGGCTTAGTTGTTCAGCTATTTGGAAATTTTGTTAGTCTTGTTCAGTACATTTATGCCATGGAATCCAAAAGTCTCGTTATTTTTCCCCAATTACCATCTCTTGAAGGATGAACTAGGACATTGTAGATGGCAAGTCTTAACTTTCCCTTGAAAAAAGCAGCGGCAATGGTGGCGGCAACTTTGTCGTAGACGGCCTCACCAATGCAAAAGAACTTAACACACTTTATTCGGACTTGGTTCATTTATTAAACGAATATATAAAAAAGGGTGTTTCAAACTGTTGCTGAAAATATATCATATATACAGGTTCAAATTTACAAAGTCGGAAGTGGATATAATTTCTGCATTATCTACATGAATGTGAAATACAAACAGTTGGGAACTAGTAATTTAGAGACAACCTGTTGTTAGTAAGCTAAACCACCGGAAAATGCATCTCCGTCGTGAAGTAAACTCTCTGTCAACCAATAACCATCCCATGAACCACCGACCCTCTGCCAAAATAAAGTTACGAACGAAGCAAAGAGTTTATTTCCAAATTTCTAATAGAAAAAACTACTTTCAGTTTATCCTCTATGTTAACGATTACAAGCTCCTATAATTTACATGAAAACTGAAAAATAAATAGTAATAATAATAATAATAACCATTCGAGTATATAACATAATCATATTTTCAGGCCCCTCCAATGTTTGACAATTTAGCATAGAACAACCAGAAAACTATGTTACTCCAACTTAATTACAAGTCGGGTATGTGTTTGACATGAGTATGTCGTTTTTTCCCCCCAATGTTTTCGGAGGGTCATCGGAGGTCACAGGTCGTATGTGGGGAAACATGTAGGATATAGGTGCTGGATACATGTACTTCAAGAAAAAAGTGTAAAGGAACCAGAAAACATTAATATAACCGTATACTATCTCCCATGTTTAAATATATGAAAACACAAACTTCTAGTTGACTCAATGACGATTCCAACTTTTGATAGAACTAAAATTTGCTGGAAATACTGAAAAGGCAAAAAGGTTTTTAGTTGATAATATTTTACTAGCTAAAGACATTAAGACACCAAAAATATAAGCATTACATATGGCACAGATGGTGTTATCAGTTCCTAGGAAGAATTGCATAGCAAAAAGGTTCAATGAACAAACCTGCAATATTGTAAACTCGAATACTTCTTCCTCATTTGGACGACTTCCGAGTATCCAAACCGTTGTTTGAACCGGTTCTGCTCCACCATGAAAACAAAATGACAGGCGATTAGAAAGAAAACAAGGTTACAAACATGGAAAAGGTCAGTAAAGAAGTCAATATGTGAAACCAATACCTCCTTTACAGACAAACTGCTCAAGACCTTCCTCTTCTTGTGGCCAAGCAATATTCGATAGCCCGAATGGTGAAAAATCCGTCTAAACCGCTCGAACTAAATGGAGACGAAAGCAGAAAACGAAAAGCATCAGCATCTATAGAACTAAGAATCATAAACCTTGGGAAAAATTCTAACAAACTGACCTGGCCTAGATCAAAGAAGGGTCCAAAATATGTAGACCTTTCAAAAGGATCAAATCCTGCAAACTGTCACCGGATTTCAATAGCCAAAATTCCAAACAAATTATATTTATAGAACAGTTAACATATAAAAAAAGAAAGAAAGAAGACAATTGAATAATAATAGGAATTACCCTGTACATAACTTCAATGCCGTAATCCTGTCGAGGTTGGTCATTGCATTTCAATGCATCAAGTTGGTGTTTAACAGCTTCTTCCGCACTAAACTATAACAACAACTTAAACTTGGTTACTTGATACCGGTAAAAAGCAAATAACAAAAAAAACATCAATCAGGATGGACCGACGAAGTGCTAGGTGCGATCGCACCACTAGAAATTTTAAATTATCTTATAATTTAAGTAGTAACCAAAGATTTAAGTTGCGATACTGTTGCGTTTTCAGTCGCTTATATCCGAATTGTTAATATAACAAGTGCTATGACAGTCATTACAAATATCACAAATATACAATAACAGTTTGGAACGGCACCATTACTGCATCACTGCTATATAACTATTGCTATTCCAATAACGGCAGCTATTTAAATCCTTAACAGTAATCTAATTTTGCACTCCCTCAAATTTTATGATTTTGCACTCTAAATATTTCGTATATCTTCCTAAATTCAAACGCACAAGATTCTGCATCCGTACTAATAATCAGAACCTTTCTTTTCATAAACAACAATAAAAAAGAACAACAAACTTACATTTAGCCTCGGGCCAAAGGTCTTTTCGTTCTGGATTCAAGCCTGGAAATTGAACCAGAAAAAAGGTCTGAATCATATCGCCATACATATATTTATAGAGAAATCGAAGTTCTTAGAAATCGGACGAAACATCGTACCAATCCGCAGAGAGGAAATCGGGGATGTCAGCAGAAGAGGAGGAAGAAGAAGCTTTGATGAATCCATGGGGTGAAGCTTTTGGGTTTGTTGGAGAAGAGAGACAGAGATTTTGCAGTAGAGAACGAGCAACATAACGACATCGTATCGTGTTTTGGCTTATCCTTCTACCCTTCGGCAAATTTACTTACGATCGTTTCTCTTTTCTCTCAGCTCCTTACGTGCGGGAAATGAAGATGAGGCGGAAGTTTGGTGGATTTAATTTTTTAAATCAAAAGTTAGACCTTAAAAATTAATTAAAAAATTAAAAAATAAAATTAAAAACCACGACTAATCAACTCTTTTAAATTTTAGGGTAATTTGCATAAATGATCCTCCAACTATAGGGTATTATTTTATTAAGTTCATCGATTATTAAAAGTTATACAATTGTCACACGATTATTCGTTATGTTTCAAAGCCATCATTTTCTGTTAAAAAATTGACAGTTATCTTAGTTGGACATTAGCATGATGACTGAGATATGATAGTCTTTTAAGATTTCGAGATCAGATTTTATAATATCATAGTCAATATGTTAACATCAAGCTCAAAATATCGTCAAATTTTTAATGAGAAAGAATGAGTTTGTAACATAATGAATAATCGGGTGACTATTTTATAACTTTTAATAGTCCATGAACTCAACAATGTAACACTCTATAATCGGATGACCATTTTATAACTTTGAATAATAAAATGACTATTTTATAATTTTAATAGTCGAAGGACTTTGTAGATACTCGTTTTCGTCCGAAATATTTCGGTTTCTTTATATTTCATAGCATTTATAAGTATAATATGTAGTTATATAGTATATATAGAATATTGTTAACATATAGTATATATGTAGTTATATAAAATTTGTAACTTTTGATAGTCGAAGAACTATATATAATATATTTTATTGTTAAGATATAGTGATATATATTATATTATATTATATTATATATAGTTTTTTTAAAAAATAGTATATATATATAAATAGTTTTGAAAATAATATATAATATATTATAGTTTTGAAATTAAGTATTAGTATATTATATATTATGGTTTAAAACATATTTAGCATTTGAAAATAAATATTACTATTTATATAATATATTTAATATAAAATGTAATTTAAAATAATAAATATTATTATGTATTATATATATCATTTTTATTTTGATCTAGTATTATTATTTTTAATTCATTTTTATTTTTATTTCAGAGTCAAATTGTCAAATGGTCCAAGAGGAGTTTAATGAGTGTGTTCGCCTGACCTAGCAAGCCACTAAATAAGTAGAAAGCCCAATTACAATTAAAGTCCAAGAGGCCCAACATTAAATATACAAGATGAAGCCCAAAATAAGCATGTGAGCAAGGCCCAACAACTAGGGTTTTAAAGTACCTTCCAGGCGTCGTTCATCAGGGGCCATTGGATCTGAAACAATCAATAGTTTCGATTAAGAAGCAAATTAGGGTTTTATCCTAAGCTAGCCTGCCAAAACAAGGGTCGTTAAATCTGGACCCATCCAACGCCTAGATCATAGAAGAAAGTTAGGGTATTGTTAACTCATTTGCATAATTGATTTGACTGTCAAATTTGACCTCAATATCTAACGGCTCAGATGACGTTTGAATATCCCAAATGTTGGTAATAGGAGATCAATAGTGGAGATTGTGAGCCGATTTGGTATCCAGAAGCATCCAACAACCTTGAGGTTTTTAAATTCTTGATTTAGCTCTTTTATTTTTACCTCATGTTATTTTAATCCTTTTTTACTATATGCTTCTATTCTGTGTTGTTTCAACATTCGACACTTTATTTTATTTTTAAATATTTTCAGTTTAATTCATCATGATTGTTTGCTATTATTTTGCTATTGTCGATATTTGGCATGTTATTTTAACATTATTCATTTTAGTCCCACATATAGTTTAGGATTTATTGTTATTTCTGGTGCCTCTTGTCATAACCATTTTTTTTAACTTAATTGTTTTTTAAAAACAATTAAGTTAAAAAAATTATGAATCCTCTATTTTTTATTTATTTTCATTTTAGTTCCTGTTTGTTGCCCTGTTTGCTATTATGGTCTTAAAGTTGCTGTTTTTATTATTTAATCCTTTATCCATTAAGCTTGTTTAATCATTGTTATTTATTTCCTAATTTCCCTAATTTCATGTATGTATTTTAAGTAATTTGCATTTTATTTCATTTTGGTTATTTTATTGTTTTATTTATTTACTCATTTATTTAGTTATTTTAGTCAGGTTTCAAATCTTATTTATGAGATTTTATTGGTACGTCGTCTAATATATTTCTTCAAATAATAAAATGATGTTAATAATAATAAAAATGTATGATAATATTAAATATTATTATGTACGAATAATTTATGGAGGCGCGCCTTGACTAGTAAGGAGTGTGTCTTCGATAATTGTTTATACAAAGTTGTATGCTTTTATTCGCGAAAATATTATATATATATATATATCATAAAAAGTAAGGCAATGATCTTTTATGTGGGGAATCTATAGAAACAATCCTTAATTGGTGAGGAGTGTGTTTCCGATTATTGTTTGTATAAAAGAATATCACTTTTTTAAATTTTACTAAAAGGATCATAATTTAAATACCTTTCAAATTTACAAGTTTCGATGTAAAGATGATGTTTAATCGTGTAGGTATTGATTTTGGGCGCTGTGGAGCTGCTCACCATTTCCCATGCGTAACAGACTCCCGAACCATTTTCAAAATGGTTCTCTAATTAAACACATATAAGTTTTATCTTTTAATTTAATTTTCTTAAAAAATTATTTTAAAAGATAATTTAAGGTATTCGACCTACATAACCCGAAGGTCGATGGCGACTCCAAATTTATTTTCTAAAACCTTAGTTTTTAAAATTTAAGTTGGTTCGATCCCCATTCTAGCTCTCCAAAAAGCTTAAGGCTCATTCCGACAGACTTAATAAAGCAGTACTCTATAGTCGAGAGACCATTTGTGTACTTTACTCTAAATCTTAAAGATTTATTTTTAAGGCTTAATTCCCAAATAAGTGTCCAAACTATACCTTATGTGTTGAATAAATGCCTACATTATTTTTTGACCCACCCAGGTGCCTAACGTTATAAACGTTACCCCTTTAGGTGCTCGGGCCATTAACAACATTAATTTTCTCGTTAAGTGACAAGTGTGTCAACCTAATAATTTTATAAAAAAATCATATAAAATTTCGAAAAAATAAAATTATATATTTTTAAAAAAGAAAACACATAAATTTTGAAATAACCCCTAAGCTTTGAAAACCTTCATTTCAACGCCTATACCCACTCCGATTGTCCCCTTTGCCATCGAAGAAGCTCCACCAACCTCCCCATCCCCCAGCGACCAAAACCCCTATGAAATAATGATCGATTGACAATTGATCGATGATAAATCGATGTTTTAAATCCCGTGAACCCTAGGATAAAAATCACAATCCCACACGATGCTGAAGGTGAATCGGTGAAAACTACAACTGCATGTAACTAGGAAGGTGACAAGGACTACGTCGGCGATAGTGGTCGTGGCCGGAGAGGGCGTCGGTGGCGGATTAAGGTTAAGATTTGAGGTTTTGGGTTTTTTTATAATATAAGAAAAAGATGGTTTTTTATAAATATAATAATATTTAAAAAAATAAATTCCAAAATTACTAGATTGTGACACGTGTCACTTAAGGAAAAAACTAACAGTGTTGACGGGACACCTAAAGTGATAACATTTGTAACATTAGACACCCTGATGGGCAAAAAAATGTAGGCACTTATTCGACAAATGTATAAATGGCTGTCCCTTTTCCCATATGTATGGGGTAAGGGAGATGTAGGATAGTAGGTTACCCCCGACACCAGGTTGTGAGCAACTTCCGTAAGAGACCTCTGAATTATAAAATGCCCTCCGTGGGACTCGATCCCACGACCTCAAGGTTAAGAACCTTGTGCTCTGCCAACTGAGCTGGATGGTCATTAAGTGGTTAAATGTATAGTTTGGGCAATGAACCTTTTTTTAACCCATCAAGTGATTAAGTGGTTAAAGAGAATATTATTCTTCTTAAATATTTTAGGTTTAAGTAACAAAGTTTGTCAGGTGTGTGCATTCATTGTCAATTAATTGAGAGAAATTCGAACTACTTTGTAATCACCACATACTAATGAAAAATTATTTTTATTTAATTTTTAATTTTTAATTTTTTCTTAAATAATATATGATCACGGAAAGTAAATTGTCGTTAGATTTTTAATGAATTACTGACATGACAAATTAATAAAAAAGTTTAAATAATTTTAACTCACAAGCTTTATATTAAAAAAAATTAATTATGGGTCTTTAGGTAAAAAACATTTTGATAAATTTTTAATTACCCTATTTTGCTTTTCTTCAACCAGCCAAAACCATAGCACTTGGACCAACTTTCCGAAGACAGAGTAATGGGTGTTTGTGGGAATCATCATTTTCAAGTGATGTATTTAGTGATCTCTCTGGCGAGGGTGAGCCGACCTCGATTTTAGCCATAGATGGATCGAGGGGATGATAGAGGCTCTCCTCTTAAAAATTTAAAATTTTTATATATTTTAATTTTTATATATATATTTTTATTAAAAATCTATTTTTAATCTTTAAATTTAAGTTCATTTCATAACATAAAATATTATATCCGTCAATCTTTAAGGAAAGGAGGTGAACCACGTTACCTGCTGCAAGCTGTTGTTGGTCGAAGAAAATTGTTGAAGAAAAGCAAAAGAGGAGTAATTAAAATTTTATCCCTATAAAGTGTTTTTATTTACAGAAAGATCTATAATTAGTTCTTTATCTAAAGTTGAGTTAAAATAAAACGAATTTTTTTATTAACGTATTATGTCAATATTTCATTAAACGTCTAACGATAATTAATTATATGTTATTATATTTTAACTAAATATCATTTTATTTAAAATTAATGAAGAAAAATGGACAAAACATATATTAAAAAATATAAATCAAAATAATCAATTATGTTGTTCACCGAAAACTATAACATCATGATTTTTTATAATTTTTTAATTTAACAGAATTATTATACTATTTTATTATTTTCACCTTTTTATTTTATTTTATGAGTTTTCCCTTCAAATTGTTATATAATTTGGTATATAAACCGTAAAAATACAATGTCTACTAAAAGAGGGTATTATATGCAATTATCCGATATAAGTGATCACCGCTCTGCTTCCGCTTCACTGGAACGGTCTCATTCGTTCGATGTGGCGTCCTGCTCCTCCTCCTCTCCGTCTCAAATTCCTTGCGCCCGCCGCCGCAGCCGACACCGCTGTCATGTCCTCTTACCAACGTCCCGTACTTCTTCTCAAAACACACTACTCTCTATACTAATATTATATTTCAAACTATATATGCACTAACATTCAATTTATTCTAAATGTAACAGCATCGAGGCGGTCGAAATCGATGGGGCAGAAGCTTCTCCGGCCAACCCAACCGCGGCGGAAGAGGCAATATAGTCACAGGAGACTCGCACTTGGACTCTGTTCGAGAAACGAACCTAGGCTTCAGTCGAGGAAATTTCTCCAATCAGTACTCCTTTCAGCCTCAGCAGTTCGGTTATAACCCTAGGTCTCCATATCCTTACAACAACCAAAACCAGCAATTTTCGCCAGCCGCCGCCTAATCCTCATCCGTACAGCCGTTATAAACCGCCCCGCCAACCGTTTGATCAAAATCAGGCGGCTAAGCCCTTCCGTCCCCGCTATTCCAAGCCCTGGGACTTCCGGGAATGGGAATACGCTAAAGCTCTACCGCCTCGGCGTGCTGGTATTTTAATCTCAGTCTCTTGAATATCTGTACTTTCATTGCTTTTGTTACTTGGAAAAATGAACCTTTTTAAATGAAATTTCGTTTTGCAGATAGATTTATTGTTCTTTCATATAATATATTGGCGGATTACCTTGCTAGTACCCATCGGAATCTTTACTTCCACATACCTTTCCATATGATGAGTTGGGAATGGAGGATGAGGAATTTAATGTTTGAGCTCGGTTTATGGTCAGCAGATATTTTGTGCTTTCAGGTTATCCTTTACCATATGTTTCAGAACTGTAATGAAGTTTAACGGAATATGGAGCCCATAATTTGATTATATTTCCATTGCTAGAAGCTTGCTCTACCCATAATCATTGAATACGGTTGTAAGTTCAATTAGTAGAATCTCACTTGAAGGTTTTTGTTTTCTTACATCTGCTGACTCTTTGCATAACGCCACCAGCATTTATAAAATTCAGAACTTCTGAAAATAGATGAGCAGTAAATAAGTGTTGACATTAGTGACTATTATGGAATGCAGCAATATGGTAGGATTTTATAGGGTTTTATTCTCGCTAACTTGGCCAGGAATGCCTTTATTATTAGCTGGAAATGTATATTTAACTTTAAGTGGAACTGTTTATTCAAGTTTTGGTGGGTAGGTAACTAGGAATATTCTCTCTCTCTCTCTCTCTCTCTCTCTCTCTCTCTCTTTATTATTATAAGAAGTAAGAACTGAGTGTTTCATCCTTTAATATGAAATGTTATGTTTCCTTTTACCATGTTTTCAGGAGGTTGATAGATTTCATGACTTGGAGCAGCAGTTGAAGTCAATGGGATATAGTGGCATTTGGAAGGTTTGTTATCAAATGATTTTAAGAGCAAAACTTCTAGCCTAACTGTGACTTCTGTTTTACATTTCTATCCGAAACGGAAATGGCATGCTTTTACTTGATGTACATGTAAAAAACTTTGCCTTGGAGAGCTGAATTCTGACTTTACTTATTGGGCCATTTCACAGATGCGAACTGGCAAAGCAATTGATGGTTGTGCAATCTTTTGGCGACTGTCAAGGTTATTATATCATCACTTTTTTAGTATATAACAGTCAGCAGTGAGTTCTAATGTACTTACTGGTGCTTTGAGTATTTATTTTGTTTGCTGCATGAAGCATATCATAGATTTTAAGCAGGAGGTCAGCTGTCCGTTTTCTTGTTGCAGCACTTATGCATTTTTTCATTTTTAAGACCCATGCTGCAACATACTTTTCAATGTGCCTTTTAGTGGCTTTCTTTCCACTTCAGAGCACTGCCGTTAGTACCCCTCTATAATAGTTCATAGATTAATGTTGAGAGAAGACAAATCAAAAATCCCTTAATGATAGGTTATTTGAATGCTTTACCTTTTCGATTTATTTACCTACTCAAGATTCCTTTCATTTGTGTGGCCTCAGGGAGGATATCAGTGTACTTTCAAATCTTTTTAGTTGCATGGATGCTTCCTTGTTGTGCGTGTAGCAAGTTACTAGTCAAGGGTATAATTGCTTGATTGGTGGTGTAAGATGCCTGAATTTTCGGTGGTTTTTATTCATCTAAGATTTTGGATTCATCTTTTTTTTCTTTTGTTATTTTTTTGTTCCTTTCTAACTTTTGTTTTTAGTATGTAAGAATTCCTTGTTGATGCTGTTAGATTAGACCCCTTATTAAAAAAAATTTGGTACTGTAGTATTACTGATTCCTCTGATGATTCTTATTTAGGTTCAAGTTGCTTCATGAAGAATATATAGAGTACAACCAGCATGAACTTCGGGATAATGTTGCCCAGATATGTATTCTTGAGGTCTGCTACAACTTCCTAGTCCAGTCTTGAATGTAACTGTCAATTTTGATGTGGTTTCTTGGTTAGATCTGATCCTTTATTTTCCTTGGCATGGTTATATGGCTTTGGCTGGTATTTGTTTACTTCTTCCTCAACAGTTGTTGAGCCAAAGTTCCTCCGAGAATACAGCAGATCTAAAAAGGTACTAAGGGAAGTTTACGGTTTAAAATTTTTTAGTACTTTTCTCAAAATGTAATAAAACTAACCTGTAATTGTTTCTTATGTAACTTGAGATGAAATTTTCTTCTAAAGGTAATCTTGAATCATGTTTATATTCAGAGATATTATATACTAAGCCCTTAAAGGAAACCTGTTGGTGAAGAATTTGAAACTCCAATGTGGAAGTTTCAGGTTCAAATCATTGGGAAGAGAAGGGTGGAATCTATGAGATGGGAAAAGACTACCTTCTATCATGTAGCATTAGGTCATATGTACCCCCGAAAATTGATATTTCCTATTAGAAGTGAGAAATCAGAGTAATTCTCTGTATTTTCTTATTTTCAATAGGACATATTACAACTTTATATTCAAATTATCTCTCTAAAGTAGGAAACTCTAAGTAAGGAAAGATATTAATCCTAGAAGATATGATCCCTTAAAATAAGGGATTGTAGAAAACTATTTACAGAATCTTAACTAAAGGAATGGTAACAAATCATATATCTCTATAATTCCTACACAAGCTAGAGAATATACATTGTATAATCCTAGCTTGGATATGAATTTATTGAAAACAGGCTTTGGCAAAGCCTTAGTAAGAATGTCTGCAATTTGTTCTTCTGAAGGAATGTATGAAAGTGTGGTTGTCTTTTTGTTAACTTGATCAGCAATAAAATGCCTATCAATCTCAACATGCTTTGTCCGATCATGTTGAACTGGGTTCTTGGCAATCTGAATAGCAGATTGATTATCACACAAAACTTCAAAGTGATCCTCTTGATTAGTGCCAAGTTCTTTCAGTAGTTTAAGTAGCCAAATTCTTTCGCATATTCCCAATGCTAGTGCTTTGAATTCAACTTCAGCACTACTTGAAACGACATATTGTTTCTTACATCTCCAAGTTGTAAGGTTACCCCAAACAAAGGTGCAATAGCCACTAGTGGATCTCCTTTCACTAAGGTCTCCGACCCAACTAGAGTTTGTAAAAATTTTAACAGTTCTGTCTTGTGTCTTCTTAAACATTAAGCCGTGTCCTGTAGTTTTCTTCAAGTACTTGAGAATTCTATTTGCTGTTGCCATATGCTCTTCAGTAGGATTAGTCATGTTGACTTATCACATTTACGGGAAAGGCTATATCTAGCCTTGTCAAGGATAAATAAATTAGTTTCCCAACTAATCTTTGAAATTTCTCTGTTTACTAAGGACCCATATGTTTGCGTAAAGCCTATGACCACTAGTCTAGCTTTGTATCATTGAATACTACCATTAGAGTTGTACTTTACAACAAAGATCCATTTACAGCTAACAACCTTTTTTCCTTGAGGAAGGTCTGTAACAGTCCAAGTAGCATTTTTCTCTATTGCACAAATTTCCTCTTCAACAACCCTTCTCTATTTTGAATCCTTTAGAGCTTCAGCTATGCTTGTGGGAACCTGTTCTTTATCCAAGGTTGCTGTAAATGCTTGAAAAGACGGCATCGATGAATTATAACCATCAAATTTTTCAATAGGATGCTTGGTGCACTGTCTAACCCCTTTTCTAATAGCAATAGGGAAGTCATCTTGAGTAGGGGAAGTGGACTTACTGATTTCTTCTTCTATTTCGGCAGCTGGACCCAAATCCAATTCGGCAAGCATCAGATTGCAAACCAGCCTCAGGAATATGTTTTATTTTCCTTGTATAGACACGAAGTTGTTTGATTGGTGATGTTTGTGGAAGATTTTGAATGGGAATAAGTGTATTTTCAGGAAGGGTGTTTAAAGTAGGTGTGAGTGAAGTAGTGATAGGTACTACAGATGAATCAATGGGAGTAGTTACAGGTGACAAATCTGTAGGTAAAGACAAAATTGGTGGCAATTCTGAAGGTTGAGAATGAAGAGTGAAATAGGGATCCTGCTCATAAAATGTTATATCATAGTGATAAAAAATCGTTTAGAAGGAGGATGATAACATTTATAATCCTTCTTAAGTGAAGAATATCCAACCAGTACACACTTTAACGATTTAGGATCTAACTTGAACTTATTAGGAGTAATGTTTTGGATAAAAACAGTACAACCAAATATTTTAAGTAGCAGAATGGAAAAAATAGGTTTAAAATGGGGAAAATATTGCAAATATAAATTAAGGTGTTTGAAATTGTAAAATCTTACTAGGCATTCAATTGATTAAATATGTGACAATTAATATGGCTTCCCGCCACAAATATTTTGGAATATTAGTGGTAAATAGAAGAGAACAGGTAACTTTAAGGAGGTGTCTATTTTTTCTTTCGGCAATGTCGTTTTGCTGTGGGGTTCCAACACAAGAACTAAGTTGAACTATGCCTTTTTCCCTGAAAAAAGCACCCAAAGACTTAGCAAAAAATTCACTGCCATTATCAGATTTAAAGAGCTGAATTTTAGACCCAAATTGAGTGAGAACTATGTTATAAAATTTGGCAAGAACACCAGCAGTTTCAAATTTATCTTTTAGCAAATAAGTCCAAGTTATCCTACTGTGATCATCAATGAAAGTGATAAATCACTTACAATTATCAGCATTCTTCACCCGAGAAGGAACCCAAATATCACTGTGGATCAAAGCAAAAGGGTGAGAAGGCTTGTATGTAGAAGGAGAATAAGATGATTTAGTATGTTTGGCAAGAGAGCAAACTTTGCAAGAAAAAGAATTTGGCCTTTTATGAATGAATAGAGTAGAAAAAACTTTTGCAAGATAGTGGAAACTAGGATGGCCTAAACGATAGTGCCATAACATAACATTATCAACTTTTTCTAAAGCGATGAAAGATTTCGAGATTTCGGTTTTAGTAGAGGCAGGAAGAATATAGAGACCATTCTGCAAGTTGACCTTACCAATCATCTTCTTCGAGTTTAGTGCCTGCAAAGTACAATTAATATCAGTAAAAATTGCAGAGCAGTGCAAGTCGGTGGAAAGTTTACTAACTGAAACGAGATTGCAAGCCAGTTTTGGTACGAAGAGGACATTTTTAAGTATAATCTGTTCATTGAGAATAACAGTGTCATGTCCTTCTATTTTGCACAAGGAACCATCAGCCGTTTTGACAACTTTACCAAAGTTTGTCCGCTCAATCTTCTTGGCTTTGGAAGGGAGTTTTTAATAATTTCTGGTCAAATGACATGTTTAGCATAGGGTTTCGTAACCTTTTGGTGTTGCAAGTAGGGAAAGGGAATTCTATTCGATTTTGGCAGGATGTTTGGATCGAAAACCTTCCTCTGCGTTGAGATTTCCTAGGCTTTTTGCTTTATCGATTAACAAAGATGGGGTTATAGCAAAATTTGGGTCGCTTAGTTATGGAAGATGAGTGTGGGATATTCAGATGAGAAGGAATTTGTTGGACTGGGAGGTGGATATTTGGGTTGAATTGCTTTCGATATTGGACAAAGTGAGTGTGGGAGTAGGTGAAGATGACTGTTGTGTGTGGAGAGGGAATGGTGAAGGAGTCTACTCGGTAAAATCGAGCATTAAAGCAATGTCAAGCTCATTGGTTCCGAATTCGCTTTGTCGGAGTTTGTGTGGGCTGGTTTGGCTCCTCCTAAAGTTGAAATTTCCTATGGTAGATTTTCACCACAAGATGGCAGTTAAGTCCGCCTTGATTAGGAGGGGTGTTAAAGGAATCGATGATCTCCTTTGCCCATTTTGTGGTTCGGATGTTGAATAGGTTAGTCATATGTTTTTATCTTGTAGATTTGTTTGGGGAGTGTGGATGAGATTCCTAAGGATGTGGAACGATTGTTCAGCTTTGCCAAATTGTCCTAATGAGTTCATTTTCGTGTGGGCCGAATTAGTTCTGAATTCTGAGATTTGGAAATTTATTCCAGGAGCAGTTATGTGGTCTGTCTGGTTATGTAGGAATAAAACGGTTTTTGAAAATGAAGGTTGGATCTAACCTATCTGTGTTTTGTGGTTAGATATGGATGGCTGCTTGGTTTTTGGCGAAGAAGTCTGGTTTTCCAGTTGCTCTTGATCTTCTGGTAGGTGACCTTACACTGGCAGATGTGCACAAGGGCAAGTTGAAAAAAATTTCAGCATTCACAGGTTGGTGTCCTCCCCCTTTAGGCTGGTTTAAAGTTAATGTGGATGGGGCAGTGGGCTGTGATTGGAGGTGCAGCGGTATCGGTGGGTTGCTGAGGGATTCGGAAGGCAAGAAGTTGGAATATTTCTCGGTTGCGTCAGGATTTGGTCCGCCGGTTCTAGAAGAACTAAAGGCTATTCAAGAAGGGTTGAAATTGTTTTTAGCCTCGAAGTGGAAAGATAAGGGGCGTCTTATCTTGGAGTTTGATTCTCTGGTTGCTGTGAATTGGATTAAATTCCCAGAGTTATGCCTTACTGTGTTTAGCAATCTGGTTAAAGAATTAGCGAAGTGTGTGCTGGATTCAAGTGTGTTGCTTAGGTTTGCGAAGAGAAGCAGTAATTGGGAAGCTGATGCTTTAGCTAAGGAGGGAATTGGGTAAAGGTTGTTGTGGTTGTATTCTGTTTGTAGGAGTTTGTTTAAAGTATTAGTTATCATTCTTACTTAAGGTGTAGGTTTCTATGAAAGGTTGTAATCTAGGGGGTTTTTCTTAGGATGTACTCTATGTTTATATTAATAAAATTTGGGGACTCTTTTCCTTCTTCCAATGTCCGTTAAGATACCCTGTAGCTTAACGGTTATGAAGGGGTTTTTTAATGAGGCTTCTTCTTATCAAATATTTTTTACCAAAGTTTGGAAAAAAATTGAAAAACAAATCCTTTTTACCAGTCATATGATTCGTAGCACCAGAATCAAGGATCCAATTAGGGGTCAACTGGGAGGAGAAAAAAACTGTAGCATAAGGTTACCTTCTGGTTCTTTCATGACCAGATTACCTTCTGATTGAGCAGCAGAACCAGAAAGATTTTCTGAAATTGAAGTGATCTCCGGAGTAGGAGAAGAAGTTGTGGACATCGTCTAGGTTGGAAAGAAACCATAATCTAATCTGATACCGTGTAGAAATCAGAGTAATTCTCTTTATTTTCTTATTTTCAATAGGGCAGATTACAACTTTATATACACATTATCTCTCTAAAATAGCAAACTCTAAGTAACGAAAGATACTAATCCTAGAAGATATGATCCCTTAAAATAAGAGATTGTAGAAAACTATTTATAGAATCCATTAACTAAAGGAATGGTAACAAATCATATATCTCTATAATTCCTACAAAAAGAGTTAAAAACCCAGATTTTGCCTGCCATTTTTCATATAGTTCTTGTGTTTTGTTGATCTGATGCATAATGTTAAATATCATAATTTGAGCCCTTTTCTTGCGCTTTGTATGCAATACTTTTAAATTAAAACATTGAATTTTTGTCTCATTTCGATTCTTCAAAGATATAAGCTTTCATGTGCAGCTCAGCAAATTCAAATAAAGTTGTCGTCTGTAACATTCACGTCCTATATAATCCAGGAAGAGGAGAAATTAAGCTTGGTCAGGTATTCAATTTTCTGGAGTTGGTTATTTGGTTGTTCTTTATATCCAGAATACCTTTTTATTGTTACCTCCTTTCTGGAGGCCATGGTTCCTGATTACACCGCCTTCACTACAAGAAATAGTCTTTCTGATCATTTGCAAGATTTTCAAGATTAATCCCAGTGCATTTTGTATAATCTGAGGTTAATCTGCCATGTCAAATTCTTTTTGTCACTTCATATATGACATGAATAGGTTTGCCTTTTGTGATGTTGCTTTTTGTTGTAAATGTGATGTATAAGCCCAAAATCTAATGGAAAAAGAACCGATTTTGGATAGCATAGAGCTCAAAATTAGAGTAACTTCTGCTTGGACAAATCTACACATGGCAAACAAGTAGCCTTATCATTTTTTTCCTTGCTGCCACTTTCCCCTGATCTGCATGCTTTTTTGAATCCTTATTTTCCCTAAAGCCCTTGTCAAACTTGTATTTGACACTTCAAAGTAGACATGGACATGGGTACAAGGCTCCAAAAAAAGTTCAGGAAACGTTAAAAAAACTCACCTTAACATTTCTACCCAACAGCAATAGTCTATAGTGTTAATGAATAATAATCATTTAAGTGTTTTACCCCTGTTCTTCTCAAACAGGTTAGAAGGCTCCTAGAAAGAGCTCATGCTGTTTCAAAGAGTTGGGATGGTGCTCCAGTTGTTCTTTGTGGGGATTTTAATTGTACTCCCAAGGTTATCTTGTCTTTTACACCTTAAGCTTTAGTTAAGCATTATCCACATGGTTCATTTCTGTTTATATTTATATCATAAAATTTTCTACTTCGATAACTTATGGGGATCACACTTTACATGTAACAGAGTCCATTGTACAACTTTATCTCAGAGCAGAAGGTAAATGCATTTATATGTTCTCTCTTTCTGTATATGATGGATGATCAAATAAGATTGTAATTATAATATTTGGGGCAGTTGGATTTGTCGGCGGTGGATAGAGACAAGGTGTCGGGACAAGCTTCAGCAGAAATTCCTCTGCAGACATATAATCCTAATTCAGGGTGGGTAAAAATTAATAACTTTGGGTACATTGCTGATTGTTAAAAATAAAAAGCTTGCAAAATATTACAGGGCTCAGTCTGGTGATTTTCCTGCACGAGTTCCTCCAGTGGCAGATTTCAAGGGAATTGGTATGGATAAAATGATTCCCAATCAGATACGAAGAAACAAAATACTCTAGACAGAAATAATATGAAAGATGCTTCTGTAAATTTGTCTCTGTCCAGTGAGACGATGCAGGATTTGTCAGATATGTCCTTCAATAATTCACAAAGGGGAGACAATAACAGTGTAGAATATGAAGTGACAGCAGAAATTCAGCATAATGCAGTTGGTGTTGCAAAAGGTGAAACGGGATCAGCATTCTCGGTTCTAGTTGATCATTCTAAAAAAAGTTCAAGCTGCTGTCACACTGAAGGAAAATTTCCTGTAAATCAGATGGACGATGATGTGCAAAGATTTTCTTCGGGCAATTCTTCTTGTCCTGAAAATGTGCTCTCCAACATGACTGAGATGGAGCCTATAGGAAAAGATGTCAACATCCATTCTAATAAAGGAACAAGATTGGATGACATTGTAAGGGATGATTATTCCAGCAGGTTCACAACTGATCCTGAGTCATCAGAGTCAGTTGCTAATGATCACAGACCTTCGGTTCCTTCTCAAATTGACTTCTCAGGTCTGTCTGATGGCATTGTTATAGAGTTAGAAGAGAAAATGGATAATTTGTCTCTTGAAGAGCTTAACAAATCTATGGTAGAAAGTGAAAATATTGCTGAAGACAATTATGCCTTTATTGATGCGTTATATGGTAATCAAGATGTCTATCCAACAAACTCGGGTCAGTCAGTAAGTTCAGATTTGGATCATTCATCCAAGGAATTTTTCAGTTCCCAGGACTCGCAGTTTTTGCTACCAAGTGAGGAAGTTTTGGATGATTTATCACCTTCCTTGGATTCCGGATTTGCTCAGATTGAGCAGACTACTTATGATCCATCTGCATGGGGCCCAAAGGAAATAGCTACTGCAGCTGGCCATGAGGACTGCAAATTCCTGGAGCACCCTCTTCAGCTTAAAAGTACATATACAGAAGTCAAGGTGGATCATTGTGGAGCTTTATTTATTTATTTATTTTGTCTTTTGAGTGATAAGATATCTTATAGCATAATGACCAATGAACTAAAGTTAAGTTTGGAACTCTTTTCCCTATTTTGCAGGATTCTCCGGGTACAAGAGATTCTTACGGAGAACCCCTTGTGACTAGTTACAACAGGCGCTTCTTGGGCACAGTTGATTACATATGGTGAGTTCTTCTAATCTCATAGTGGTTATATTATTGAAATATTTGAGAGCCATCAGATTTTAACAAAGTTACAGCATTCTGATTGTTCTCCCTGTAAAACTGTGGACACATTCGAGTTGGATCTAGTGTCTTAACGAGTATACACCCTTTTTGTTTGGGTATATTCAAAGGAATCCAATGTGGAACGGAATTTCCAACCTTGAATCATACCACTTCTTGATGGCTAACCACCACCATGGTCCACCTTCCTACCTTACTTTTCTTCTCTGAGGGGATAGTATATATATGTTATCCAAGTGGAACAAATATTTACGTCATACCCCATTAATATGTGTTCATTTGTTATCGAGGCTTTTGGTGCGGCCCCTTAATACCGCTGATTTGCAGCAGATTAGAATTAATAATTTTATTACATTGATCTCCAATCCAGGCGTTCTGAAGGTCTTCAGACTGTCAGGGTGCTTGCTCCATTTCCTAAACAAGCTATGCAATGGACCCCGGGATTTCCAACGAAGGTTTGTCGATGGAACATGGTTCATACGAAAGCTCTATTTTTCCCTTTAGTCTGGTGTGTTGCAATTTCAATTCCTTTTTTCTGTCATTCTTTTTTCCAGAAATGGGGTAGTGATCATATTGCCTTGGCGTCGGAATTGGCATTCACGAAAAAACCAGAACAATCAAGACCCCAAAAAGCTGAGTAGGAAGTATTTTTATAGTTGCAGTTTGTGATGGCTAATGTTGCATCATGTTAATCTTGTGTTCTTGTTGTTATATTTGGAATTATAATGGGATGTTTTAATTTGATTAACATAATAATTTTAAATAAGACAATGTAATACCATATCCACCTGGTTGTGTTGTTGGCAGAATAGTTGGATTAATTTCCGCAGATTTACTTTAAGGGTTGTCTTCATTTCTTTGTCACAACATGCATGTTCCTGCTATCTACTGTTTGCTGTTGCAGTTGAGGCTTCAATTGAAGCATCATCATGGAAATGGGCCTGACAATGTATTTAGGATGGCCATGGGATCCGAACCCGACAGGTTTCGACCCGACCTGATTGGGTCGGATTTTTTTTTTAAATTGGGTTCGGGCTGGGTTGTGTTTTTTTTAATGTGACGTTCGGGTCGAGTTCGGGTTTAGGGTGAAAAAACCAGATCCGAAAAATATATAATTTTACCTTATATAGTTAGGAATAATTACAATAATACCTCTTTATATATTATTTTTTTCAATTAAGTCACTGTTTTTATTGAATAAAAATATTTTTTATTATTTCGGGTCGGTCGGATTTTTAAGTTATATATCGGGCCGGGTGAAAACTTGTTTTGGTCGGGTCTCGGGTGGAGGATTCTTTGTTCTCAGGTCGGGTCGAGTGGATCAAAAACCATGCCATGCCCATCCCTAAATGTATTCCAACAGGGTAGGGTTGTTCTTTTGACCTGTTGGCCTTACAAGTCTTTGAAATTTAATTTATAGGTAAACTAAGTATTTAATCCCCTAATTATTTCTTGTTTTGTTTTGGTCGCCTAATTATTTTTTTCTATAATTATATTTTTTTAATAGTCAGGTAATTACAAGGATAGGAAATGATCAAATTTTTTCTTAATCAGTAATAATGCACACACATTATGCAAATCCAGCTGTTTGAACTCATGATCTTAAGAGAATTAATACTCTTTGATTATTGTTGTCGTTTGATAGATTTTTTTTTTCTTTTAAAAAAATCATACTTGAACTTATTTTTTAAGTCGTTGAAAAATAAACAATTATCGACACATCAATATAACTATTAATTTTTACGGTAAAGTATATAAATTGTCCTCTGATTATAGGTCATTGTTTTATTGAGTCTCTTGACAATTAAAAATTACGACATATCCTCTGACTATTGGGTATTGTTTTGTTGAGCTTCTTGATTACTAAATGTTATAAAATGGTTATTCGACTATTTATATGTTTCAAACTCGTTATTTTACGTTAAAAAATTGATGACAGTTTGAGCATGATGTCGACTTGTTGACTGAGATATGATGATCGTTCGAGATTTTGAAATCAAATTTTTATCATATCAGATTCATCAGTTAATGTCTAGTTTAGATTATCGTTAATTATTTAATAAAAATGACGAGTTTGAAACATATGAATATTCGGATGATCATTTTTAACTTTTTATAGTTGAATGACTAAACAAACAATACCCTATAGTCAATGGATTATTTCGTAATTTTTAATAGTTGAGACTTAATAAAACAGTACCCTATAATCGAAAGATAATCTTATATATTTTACTCTAACTTTTAAATGAAACGAAAATATAAATTTAAATATAATTTTTAAAAAGAATAATTAAGCGATCAAAATGACTCTGTAAAAATAATTGAGCGACTAAATATGTAATTCATCTCGATTTATCGAGAGGGTTTGTTTTATGTTACAACGGAATCCATTTGTGCCGTTGCTTTATGTTTATGTTTTGGATTTAGCTTTGGGAGGGTTACTATTTGACCAAACTAACAGCCAAGCAAAAACATTGAATCATTCGTCCTTTGTTCATTAAGAACAACTTTTTTTAACGTCCCCCAAAAATGGATTTAATTGTTTTTCGATCCCTTTCTAATTTGTTCTATTTTTAAGATTCAATTGCTCTTAGTTTTAAAATTAAATTATGTTTTTATATATCATTTTGTATTTAAAATATATTTAGAAAATATAATAAAGTAACAATGATTGTAATCGGTTTAGCTGATTGAGATATTAGATTTATTAAATAAAATTAAAGATTCAAATTCTAATTATGAATAGAAAAAACCGTGTTCAAATGTTACACTTAGGATGGTTTTTTGTAGTATTTTACTAAAAAATAATCTATTAATAAATTAAATATCTATGATTAATTTAAAAATTAATAATAAAATTCTAATAGTTGCAACGATAATAAATTCATTTTACACAAATTTAACGTGATAGCGGGAATGGCAAATACACCCGTTGAGAATTGCCAACAAAAGAAAACCAACTTTAGGCCATTTTTTTTTGGTATAAAACTCTGGGCTATTATTATAAGGTTAATATAAAAATAAATATTTAAATTATACTTTTTTTAGTTAGGTATCTAAGTTTTTTTTATCGATTCAGGTGTCTAAAGTTTTTAATATTACACTTTTAGACGTCTTGACTGCAATGGTTGTTAAATTTACCGTTAAATGACACATGTTGTGCTCATGTAATTTTGAAAATTTTATTTTTTAAAAAAACTTTTAAAATATTGTATTTAAAAAAAATCTTAATTTCTCTAAAATTACAAAAAGAACCTATAAATACCTAAGATCCCTAACCCTAACCTTACCGTCAACATTTTCGACCACGACTATCGTTGCCTCCGCCATCCTTGGCATCTCCCTTGTCGTTCGTCATCTCCCTTGTTGTCACGAGCGCCTTCGAGGTCTTTTGGGTATCAAAATTTTATTTATTGGGTTTTGGCTTTGCTACTATCTTCATTGGTTGTCGTCAAGTTTATGAGTTTTGGGTCATCATGTTCAACTGCTCGACGGGTGAAGGTTCTTGTGGAGATTTGGTCGATGGAAGCGGCGACAACATGTATAGATATAGGGTTGAAATGAAGATTTTTAAATTTTTAGAGTTTTTTTTAGATTTGAGAAACTTTTGAGTTTTTTTAAATATAATAATTTTTTAAAAAACTAAAATTAATTTTTTAAAATTACCTATGCACAACATGTGTCACTTAACGATCATGACGGTCCAGACACCTAAAAGCATAACATTAAAAATATTAGGTACCTAAATTGACCGTAAAATAATTTAAACACCTAAATGAGAAAAAATGTATAGTTTGTACACTTATTTTTATACGAAGCTTTATTATAATTATAATTGATATTTTATTTTATTAAGGGTAAATTAAAACTTTTTGCCAATCAACTGTAACTCTATTTTTATTTAGTCACTCAACTTTAAAAATGTTCACTTTCATAAGTAATTTTTGAATTATTCATGTTTGGGTTATTTCTCTGTTCATGGCATAGCTTCTTTTTTAAAGAAAAATTATGAAGAGCTTCTAAAACTTTCTTTTTCACTTAATACCTATGCAATTTTCCTTAAATTTTAATTTTAAAGGATTTTGGTTCATTTTAGAGAAACATAATCTATAGAAAGCGGAAAAGAGAGAGAAAAAAGAGAGTTTTCTTGTGGTTAAAATGACGACAAAATAAAACCGAAGTGATAAATAATCATGATGATCGTGTCAAAATCTAAGTAGAGGGAGAAAAAAGAGAGAGAATAAAAAATAGGGAAATGAAGAAAAAAGTTTCCGTAGAAGTCCAAAATAATGTCATTTTGGTATAAATTTAACTTTTTTAAAATGATGTCATTTGAGTGTTATCTACCGTGTCATAATACTATTTTTGTTGAGTTAATCGATCGATGGAATCGGCCAAGAGGGAGTGAATTGGCAATTAAAATTTTGGTGGAAGCTTTTGCAGAAAATTGAAAGTAATTGCACAACGATTTAGAGTGGTTCGACTTTCTCAACCAAAGTCTACGTCCACTACCTTAGCTATCCACACTAAGGATTTTCCACAAATTCACTAATTTGTCTTTCTTTTGAGGACAAAGAGTAACCTTACAAATCCCTCAATAATTATACCCCAAATTCTTGAGAACACTCTCTCCCAAAGAGAACAATACAAATTTTGCAAACTTACAAGAAAATCCTCACAAGGCAAGATGTTTGCATAATTCTAGAACAAAGAAAGAACACTCAAGAATAATACAATTGAGCACAATAAGTGTTATTGAAATCAAAAAAGAATATTGAATGAAATAGGCTTGAAAATGCTCAAACTTAAGGTTTGATGCTTTCTCTTTTATTCTCTCTTGATTCTTGTTGATTGTTGTTTCTTGTTTTTGATCAATGACTTCTAAGCTTGTTTAAATACACCTTCAAATAATTTGAACGTTGGGGATGATTAGTGGAGTTAATATGTCGAGAATCGACTAAACCTAGCTCTGATACCATTAACTGTAACACCCCAACCCGTACCCAACCCGAATACGAGTCTGAGGTGTCACATTGACTTTTCAAACCTTGACACTTAAAGAAAAACCTCGAAAAATTTATGTAACACCCCCAACCCGTACCCGACCCGAATACGAGTCCGAGGTGTCACATTGACTTTTCAAACTTTGACTCTTGACAAAATTCAAAGAAAATTTAAAACTTTCATTAAAGTAAGAGCAGTTTAGTTACATAATTTGACCACAATAACCAAAATCGATCAGAGCATATTTAACTCAATCAATTAGTACATGCCAACTATATTCAAAATAACAAAAAATCATTTAACTCATCTATTTTCTGATCTGAAATCTTGTAAGGGAGATGTTGACATGTATTGCTCCTCACAGCTTCTATATTCACTTTCTGTAACCTGCGTGTGAAACACTCACACGCTAAGTCGATGACTTAGTGAGGCATAAAGAAAACACATCTAATGGAATTCATACCCACTAATCATGCATGACTGTTTTATGCTATCAAATTATACAACTCATTTACATATACATCAACATATATTCATGTATATTATGTAACAGATACCATAACCCCTATCACACATATATCATATCATGCAATTCATATCACACCTCATATACATATATCACATACATTGTTCTCATATCACCAACCTGTTTATCCTTACTAATTCCCTTGTCATTACTTCAATTCCGTCATATGAACATATAATGAATATAAACATATTATATATATTTTAATATGCCAC